CTCAATTGACATGATTAATTAAGAGTGTTACCCAGAGATTTGAAATGACCGTGGGATATGAGGAGATCCAAGTGATAATAGAGATTAAGGACCAAGGCAGGTTCGGTCCAAAACGAGACATTAACGAGGTTGTGTTTGTCGCAAATCATTGATGACCAAACGTAAAACGTGTCGGCGATCAAGCAAGTCACCGGAGGATCATCCCGGCGGGAGATTTTGGCGATGAGATCATCGACGTGGGCAGAGAAGACGTGAAGAATGCCTTCAAAGAATTGGTCATGGTTAAGCGACCGGTCAAACCCCAAAGGGAAGCCGTCGCTCACGGTTGTGTAACGTATGTCAAGGTGGCCGGAGCTGCGGGAGGCGGAGAAGATGTCTCCGGCGTCACCGTGGCGAGCGGTGGAGATGTGGTGGTGGATGGAGTCGGTGTTGACGAAAGTGATGGTGAAGCCATGTGAAGCGAGTTTGATGGCTAAGTGGACAAAAGGAATAACATGGCCTTGAAGTGGGTATGGAATCATCATGGCATGAGGTTTTCTTGCTTTTGTTCTCTCCATTTTTCTTGCTTCTTTGGAAGAATTTTCTTGGTATTTTGAGTGATATATCGACTTGATTTTTATTAGTATTTACTTAAAGGTCTTTTTTAATGAATAACAAAAAAATATATATATTTAAAAAATTGGTAAAAATAGGGTATGTGGTACTGGGTATTGGATTTAGGTTTTTTGTTTAATTTGTAAATTATAATTTTTTTGTTGTATTAATGACAAATTATCCCTTACTTAAATCACACTATTTTGACAAGGCATTTTTTTGTAAAAGTGAACCGGAAAGTCACGCGCGCGGTGCGATATTTTACATAATACTAATACTAGTATTCTCTAATTCTTATTTCCATTTGTATTGGATTTTTGAGAAATTTTTTTTTTTTGAAAATTTTATAAATGGATATATAGAGTTTGTAAGTATTTCATTCAGTTATGAAAAAAATCATAGTCTGTTAAGTATAGACAGCTCTACCGATTGTTGATGCCATCCAAAAAAGTTGCGTTTCAAAATTCATGGTTCAAATCTCTTTTTTTAATGTTTAAATTTCAATGTAAAAGGTTCCATATATAATTTTTTTATTTAAATAACAATAGCCTTAGATTCTGTTGCAACCTGGAGAGTTCTTACTAAACTTTTAGAATGGCCAAGATATCGCTCCTTATTGCAGCACACTCAGGCTCTTCAATCTCAGTTTGTTTCATGCTCATTCGAACTTGAATCGACGACTGCAAATTCTGTTGTACGAGAAATCGCAGGGAGTATTACGCGTGATGGGAGGTTCAATTCATACCTTGCACTTGGCGGACCATCTTGGCTTCATGATCGTATTCTTAGAGATGCTTTCTTTTAACATCTTTTAGTCCCTCCTTTTTGGGAATTGATGTTGCGTTTTTGTTTCAGTTGTTACATGTCTGAAACTTTGTTACTTGCTTTAATAATATTCAAACGTT